TTACCTAGTTGCTGTCAGAAATAGTAAAAATGATACCTGCATCGAGCAACTTGATTACTTCCTTTTTCACCACCTCTTTCATAATGGGATTTAATGTTCTTTGCAGCTCCACACTAGGGCAATGTCCGTCCTCTAAAAAGATTTTATGCATGCAAAACGATGGACTAATTTCCTTGATGTCAGCAATAGTCCACCCAATAGCCTTTTTATGCTCGCGGAGTACTCTAAGAAATTTTTATTCTTAAGTGTTAGTCAAGCTGGAGGAGATAATTACGGGCAATGTCTCAGAGTTCCCCAAATAAGTGTAACGCAGGTGCGCTGGTAGAGGCTTAAGTTCTAGTTTTGGGGCTTATTCAATAGATGACTTAGGAGGGGTCTGAGTTATAGGTCTGTCCAACTCCTCAAATTTTCCAAACCCATGGACATAATTGCAGGACATATCAAGTACTTGCTCAATCTCTCCCATTATTTCATCTTCACTATCTTATTCATCCCCAATCAAAGCTCGTTCAAGAGGATCTATAGGGCTCATATAAGGCACTAACGATGTAGCATCGCTTTCCACCACAAAAATCATGGATAGCTCTTCATAGTGGGCTGGCAACCTGAGTGCTTTATAAACATTAAATACTTCCACTTGATCACCTACTCTCATCGTCATCTTTCCTTCACAAACATCCATAATAGCTCGGCCCGTGGCTGAGAGTGGACGCCCCATAATAAATGGGACTTCCTAATCAGGCTCGTAGTCCAAGATAATGAAATCAGCAGGGAATATGAAAGAACCCACTTGAACTAACACATCTTCAATCACTCTTTCAGGATAAGCAAGGGAGCGATCCGCCAACTGTAAGATAACTATTGTGGGACGTGGCTCACCCAATCCCAACTGTCTGAACACATATAGTGGCATCAATTTGATGCTCGCTCCAAGATCACATAAAGCTCGCCCAACAACATGTTTACCAATCGTGATTTGGATAGTGAAACTACCTGGATCCTTCAATTTCTGAGGTAACTTGCCTTAAATTCTTGAACTGCACTCCTCAGTGAGTGCCACAGTTTCGAACCCGGTCAGCCTCCTTTTATTCCCCACTATGTCCTTGATGTAATTTGCATATTTGGGTACTTCTTGTAAGATGTCAACCAATGGAATATTAATTTGCACCTGCTTCAAAATATCAAGAAACTTTTTATATGCGGCGTTATCCCTTAATTTCTACAATCTTTGAGGGAACGGAGGTGGTGGCCTTACAACCAATGGTGGGGGTTTCTCAGCCACTGCCTCTCCAACTGGCTTTTCTGACTCCTTAGATTTTTCTGATGTTGATTCTATAGCGGTTGTCCTCTCATTAAAAGGCACATGTTTCCTCTTTTTAGACTGAACTTCTTCTAGTTGTCTCTCATTTCTCAACGATACGGTATTAAGGGATGCCCTAGGATTAGCTTCAGTATCATTTGGAAGAGCTCCAGATGGTCTAGTATTTTGAGCACTGGCAAGCTGTCCCATTTGGCGCTCCAAATTTCTCATTGTTGCGGCTTGGGCTTGCTGCTCAGCCATAAATTTTTGAGAGAGGGCTTGATGTTCAGTCATCACTTTCTGAGAGAGGGTTTGTTGTTCAGCCATCACTTTTTTCAACATGTCTTCAAGGTGACTTGTTGGACTCATTTGTTGTTCAACCTGAGGTGGTCTATATTGTTGTTGAGGTGCTTAAGGCCTGTATTGATTCTGAGTACCTTGGTTTCCACCCCAAGAGAAGTTTGGGTGGTTCCTCCAGTTGGGATTGTAAGTATTTCCATATTGGTTTGTTTGGCCCCTATTTGAATTACCCACAAAGCAGACAAATTATGGGTTAGCGGGGCATATGTCGCTCGTGTGACCCTCTCCACATATTTCACAAAACACTTGAACCTGTTGTACCTGTTGTGCTTGTTGCTTGTTGATAATCAAGGTCATCCGATTGACTTGGTTGGTCAGTGTAGAAATCTGCGCTGATAATGCTGAGATGACATCTAACTCAAGAACTCCTACAGACTTTTGCACAGTGTGTATGCCCATCTCTCCTTGCCAATCCAGATTGCTTTTGGAGAATTTGTTCAATAATGCATATATCTCATCAAAGATTTTCTCCAACACTTGACCTCCAGCTGCAGCATCTACCACAATCTTTGTTTCAAGATGTAAACCTTCTATGAAAGTGTGAGCTAATACTTCTCTTATCTGATTGTGATGAAGACAGTCTCTGATTAGCCCCTTGAACCTCTCCCAAGCTGAGTATAAAGACTCTCCCGCTTTCTGTTTGAAGGCAACTATCTCACTTCTGATCTTTGCAGTTTTGCCTGAAGGGAAGAACCTTGTCAGAAATTTCCTTGCCAAATCATTCCATGAGGTAATAGAATTAGCTGGTTCTGCCTTCAGCCATTGTTTTTCTTCTCCCAACAGTGAGAATGGAAAATGTGTGAGCCTCACATAGTCTGGAGTGACTCCGTTAGTGATATAAGTGTCACTAATCTCCAAGAAGTTCAGGATATGTTGTTGTGGATCCTCGTGTGGAAGACCCATAAATTGCCCATTTGCATGAAGTAGTTGGATCATGCTTTGTTTAAGCTCAAAGTACCCAATGATCCTGGGCTTCACAATACTGGAGGTGACATTAGCAATGCTGGGCATCGCCACCTCTTGAACAGCCATGTGATGCTCCTCTGCCATGTCCACAGGAAATTGAATAAGTGCTTGAATATTATTCGTGCCCCTTGCTTCCCTCAACCTCCTGTGAAATGTTCTCTCAGGTTCAGGGTCAAAGCCTTGAAGTCGGTCCTGGCTTCTAACCCTACGCAATCAACCAAATTTCCTCAGATCCGAGCAACAGTCAAGTAACGTTAGACTCGACGAAATAACCAATTAAAGTAAAAACTAGAAAGTACTTAATATTCAAGTCCCCAGCAACGGCGCCAAAAATTTGTTGCTCCCTAATAAAATAATAAATCGAGTGTCGAACCCACAGAGACTTATATCAACTACTCACTAACACACCATTATTATTATTACATCAAGCTAAATTTGAGTTCAAGAGTTTAATTATGCTAAACTACAATTCTAAGTAATAACTAAATTATCAAGCAGTAGAAGGATTGTTATGTATTCAATAGAGACAACTATTCCAGGGTTGTGATCGATTCACCAATCCTATTGTGTTCTAGTTAACTCTTCCTCTCATACAATTCACTCATGGTTACTAATTAATCGATAATTTCTCTCATAGCCTTCTCCCGAAGTACTACTCGCCTATTCAAAATAGATTAACGCCTATATTCCAATGGAATCAATCTATTAAGAACGCATTAAGATTACAATATTTAATTAAGCACAGTGACTAGGTATATTCCTATCCTAACCACAAATCCGCCCCCCTCCCCCCTAAGGGTTAAGATCATGCTCTCTTCAATTCTTCTCTAATCTAAACACGGTTTTCCCAAGCATATCATAGATAGTAAATACAACCTAACTGTTGGCCAGAAAATTAAGCAATTAATCACAGAATTGAAAAAACAACCATATATTAGTGAATTATAATCGAGGTTAAGTCAACATTAAACAACAATATTCATAGCTAAATCACAACCCCAGAAGAATGGGTTTTTAGCCACTCATAATACTAGAAAACAATTGCATAAGGTTTGAATAATTGAAAATACTAGAAAAGATGAAGAAATCTGAGATGTTCTTGCTCCCGATGTTTCTTGTGTGTATTTTTCCTCCAAAGTGGCGTCTCCAGGTCTAAGCTCTGTCAAAAGTCCTCAAAATAGCATTTTATATGTATTTATACCAAGTAGGGTCGGGCCTAAACGAAACACCCTTTCATGAGCGAAATAGGACTTTGGCTCTGTGAAATTTGTACAGGCGCGTCGCACCCTGCACCGCACTAGTGGAGATTATCGCAGCCTTGCATTTTTCTTGTCATGCCAGTTTTTACACTGTTTCGCCGCAACCTGCGGCATTCCATGCAGCACGGTAGTGAGAATTTGTGAAAATACAAACATGAAAGTTGTAGCCCTTTCAATTAGCTTTCTAACGATATATTGTGAAGCCCAAACGGAGTTCTGAGCAAAACGTTATGTGCATTTTTCTAGACAATACACCGTATGCCCGCTCGATTCTTCATTTCGTTCTTAACTATCATCCATTGATCTCCGAACACGATCCCGGCTTAATCCTTGGGCTTTTACTCAGACTCCAAAGCTCCAAATTACTTGAGTTCATTCCATAACTCCTACATAGATCGGAATCACTCCTACAAGGCATAAAACACATATTTAGTGCAAAACACTAGTGATTAAAGCTCAAACTCAATTAAAGTACAGTAAATTAGAGTGTAATAAGCGACTAAAATACGCAATTATAGCATATTATCAGATACATTTGAGACAGGGGAGAAGTAACATAGACTTCAAAACTTTCAAACAAGTAGTATTGACACAGAGCTCAAAAAATCACCACCGATCCAATTGGTTGTGGACTTATGTTGTAACAATACTTCTAGTTGTGATAAGCAGAGAAATTTGGAGGAATGAGTAAACTTATAGCAGCTCTATGAAGTACATACATAACCAAAAAAAGATAAAGAAAGAGGAAATGCAGGAAACTCAGGGAATACTCAAAATGATGATACTGATAATGCTAATTGGTTACCTAATGGTAGAGGAAGAAGCAAACAAAGAGGAAGAGGGAAAAGAGTCATAGAGAAGAACACTCCTGTTCCACAGAGTAAAGGAGCTAAAATAAGGATTTCAAACCTATAGTTTTTCATGATTAGTGCAATTTTCTAGAATATTAGAGGGGTAAGGTCCAAAAAGGCTATTCACATATTAAAAAGATTGATCAGCATCAATAAAAATGACTTTGTTACTATCTTTGAACCTTTCATTAATAGTGGAAAGATTGAGAGCTACAAAAATTTCTTGGGCTTTCAACACTGCCTAGCAAATACCAATGGCCAAATATGGTTTTCTGGAATTGTCAGGCGGACATAGCTGCAAACGAGGATCAACAACTCACTTTACGTATCAAAGACAAAGATAGGAGCGATATCCATATTACTGCAGTATATGCTACTGCCAGAGAGAGAAAGGATTTTTGGGCTAATATTGAAGACATTAGCAATGACATTGCTGGCCCATGGTGCATTGGAGGAGATTTTAATGTAATCATGGACTCAGAAGAGAAGCTGGGGGGCAGACCTCATCGAGCTCATAGAAGCGTTGATTTCACTGCTACTATGGAATATTGTGGTCTTGTGGACTTAGGCTATTTTGGACCTAGGTTTACTTGGTGCAACAATCGAAGAACCAACAAAAGAATTTGGAAAAGGCTCGATAGTATTATAGTTAATGATGAATGGACGCAAAAGTTTCAAAACAATTATATTACGCATTTAGTAAGGACTGGATCGGATCATCGATCTCTCTTTATGAAACGTCACAGTGAGCAGCAAGAAGTGATTAAATACTTCATGTTCCTTAATATCTGGGTGCAACAACCAGATTTTTTAGAGGTAGTCCAGAATAATTGAAGCACACAGGTCACAGGTAATGCTATGTGGAGATTGAAATGCAAACTATAGTCCCTTAGTAAAAGGCTAGGACAGCGGTCCAGGGAAAGCTTAGGAGACATCTACAACTAGTTCAACAATTGGGAAGCAAAAGTGCAACAACTTGAAGAACTCGACCTTCATATAAACACTGAAAACAGTAGGAAAGAATTAAATAAAGCTCATGCGGAGTACGTTAAATGGCTTGGAGTACAGGAAAGAAATTTTAAGGCAAAAATCACATATAAAATGGTTCCAGGAAGGAGACTACAACACTACATATTTTCACAGTATGCTTAGGGAAAAAAGAAGAAGATTGCAAAGGCTACCATAAAACATTTTGAAAGTCTTTTTGGCATGGAGGATCCAGTCATGAATGATCAACTCCTAGAATGCATTTCGGCTGAGGAGAATGAGTCCTTGATTGCTAATCCATCAATGAGTGACATCAAAGATGTTGTGTTCAGTCTGAATGCCAATAGTGCAGTTGGTACAGATGGCTTCAATGGGGTTTTCTTTCAAAGTTGTTGGGAGATTATCAAAGAAGACATCATAGCCTTTGTTCGGGAAGTTTTTAACGGCAAAAAGCTTACTAAGTTCTACTCTCATTCATGTTTGGTTCTTATACCAAAAGTGGAGTCTCCAACCAACTTCTCTAAACTTAGGCACATTAGTCTGACGAATTGCACAACCAAAATCATCTCTAAGGTGTTGGCAACCAGACTAAATCGTTTCCTTCTAAGGATTATATCAAACAATCAGAATGGTTTTATGAAGGGCAGACTCATAACAGAGAACATCATGCTTGCTGAAGAAATCATACAAGGTATTGGCAAGGAAAACAGAGGGGGAAATATTATCATAAAGCTAGACATAGCCAAGGCTTACGACAGATTATCTTGGTCATTCTTAGCCTCAATGCTGAGAAGGTTTGGTTTTGCGGAACAATGGATTGATATTATATGGAGATTGATATCGGATGTGTGGTACTCTATAGTGATCAATGGCTCCAGGAAGAGCTTATTTACCTCTTCACAAGGACTTAAACAAGGAGACCCTTTATATCTCTCATTGTTTATCATTACGGTAGAAATGTTAACTAGGTCTCTCAACAAGCTTCTTTCCAATCCTGATTTTACTCCTTTTTACATGAACCAAAGGGGCCCAAAAATCAATCACTTTGCCTATGCGGATGATATAGTAATCTTTAGTAGGGGTAATAGTAAGTCTATAAGACTGATCATGAAGCAAATTAGCAAATATGAGAAAGCTTCCGGGCAAAAAGTAAACAAAGAAAAGAGCTTCGTTCTCAATGACCCTAAAGCAAGAGCCCACGGAATGAATAGAATGAGGGAAGCTACTGGATTCATGAATAAATATTTTCCCTTCAACTACCTTGGTTGCCTATTATATGTAGGGAGAAAGAAACTTTCCTACTTCGACCCTATGGTGGACAAAATTGCTAAGAAATTGAATGGGTAGCAAGGTAGGCTTTTGACTTCTACCTTTGACTTGTGGGGGACGTATGGTCCTCATAAAAAGTGTTCTCCAATCCCTTCCGATTTATACTCTATCTACTATGAGTCCCCCAAAGGACACTTAAAAATTGATTGAAATGTATTTTGCTAACTTTTTCTGGGGTTCTGCAGGTGATATGAGAAAGTATCATTGGAGCTCTTAGAGAAATCTTTGCTTCTCTAAGGATGAGGGAGGAATTGGTGTTAGATCCATGGAAGACATCAGCAATACTCTTTCCATGAAAAGATGGTGGAGATTTAGAACTGTAGATTCCTTAAGGTCATCTTACCTTAGAGCTAAATATTGCATCAAATCACATCCAATGGCTAAGAAATGGACATCGGGAAATTCGCATGCATGGAAACATATGACTCAAATAAGGAGCAAAGTGGAAAGTTGTATATATTGGAAAGTTAACAAAGGCACTTGTAGCTTTTGGTGAAATAACTGGTCGGGAGGTGCTCTAGCAGATCTATTTCCCCATAGGAGAAAGAGCAAGAACACCATTGTGAGGGAATTCATTACAGAGGAGGGTTGGGATATGACGAAGTTGACTATGATGACCACACAGCTCTACTAATTAGAGACATTGCTCTAGGATATTCTAACAAGGATGACTATGCCATTTGGGATATTAAATCTAGCGGTCACTACACTAACAAGAGTGCTTGGCAGAATATTAGAAGCAGGAAGTAGAAGAATGAAGCTTTAAACAAGATTTGGCTTAATTGCATACCTTTCAAAATCTCTTTCCTTTCTTGGAGATTGTACCTTGGTAAGCTTCCTTTTGATGAAATTATTGCTAAATTTGGTAATAAAATTGTTTCTAGATACAGGTATTGTCAGACTCCTAAAGAGGACACCATTCAACATGTCTTCATTGAGGGGGATGCAGCCAAATTTCTCTGGAATAGATTCAGAGCTCCTATGGGCATCAAATATGAAACCTGGCCAGTTAGAAGAGTTCTCAAAAATTGGTGGGACGAGAATCCTAAGAACAATATCCAGAAGTTCACTCTTCTAGCAGAACCATTAGGTATAACTGGGAAATATGAAAAAGTTGGACTGCATGTAGATATGGCGGGCAAAAGAATTTTCAACCGAGGAAAATGGAGCATCAAGTAATGTGGACTATCCAAGCAGCTTTGAGTATGGACTTCCCCAAATACAAAGTTACATGTCCATAGTCTATGTTCTGTGAAAAGGTAGAGCTTTGGAACCCCACTCCAATAGTGCATCAAGTAACATGGCAAAAACCCCCAGTGAAAGGATTAAAATCAATACTGATGGAAGTTATTTAAAAGAAACGGGAAGAGCTGGAATCGGAGGCATTGTTAGAAATGAAGAAGGTGATCTAACAATGGAATTCTCCTTGCCAATTCAAAGCAACACCAACAATAGCACTGAAGCAATGGCCGCTAAAGTAGGAGTTCAATGATGTATACAACAGGGGTATAATGACTTCTATCTGGAGAGTGGAGATTGACTAGCAAATAGTAGCCAATATGCTCATTGCCAAAAAACATCGACAACCTTCATTTAAAAGGCCTGATTGAAGATATGACTAGGATCAGGAACCATGTTGAAGTTAACATTGCACACTGCTTCAGAGAAGAAAACTAAGTGGCTGATACTTTCGCAAAAAAATGCAGCAAAAAATGGGATCAGTGGCTATTACTATACTTTCCAGCAGCTCCCAGGAAATGCTAAAGGACCTTTCCAGCTGGATAAATGGCAACTACCTTATTTTAGAATTAGGTACGATAAAGCCAATTTTTTTGTGAGTTGATGTACATTCTTTTATAGATATGAGAGGTAGATATATTTTCATTACCTTGCCTTTCATATCGTTTTCTCAGAAGGTAAGGTCCATGTCCCCCTCCATTGTATGTAATCTTTTTTTTGTGGGAATAGATATAGTAGGGGTCTCACCAAACCTCCCAACACTCCAGGTGATGAAAACCTGGGTGATTGTCTTTAATAAAATAAAAATATTTACTTTTTCATTTTTACTTGTCCACTATATTAAATTAAGAGAAAAATAATCTTTTTTTTTCTGTTTTACCATAATCATTAGCTACTCATTTTCCAAGACTTTTGAAAATATTATCATTATTATGGGAAAAATTGTAAAATACATACTTCATTTATATTTTTCTTGAAGGGAGTGCAAAGTCAAAAGTGGATAGCTAACAATAAAAGGACGGAGTATATCCTTTCTCCTCCTCTTCTTCCTTCTTTTTTGGAGGGTAAAATTATTTTTACTGTATCAAATTATTTTATTTTATCCTGTGTATAATTTGATTTATACATACCGTTAAACAAATTGTCTCATTTTTAGCTCTTGGTCTTAATGGAGCTCCAAACCAATCTATAATGGAGGGTCATTTGGACCTCTGTATAATTTGATTTATACATACCTCTTCGTCATGACCGTTTCTCGTTGTTTGTAGCACACGATATGTTGAAAATTATCTAAATTCCTATTTTATGGCCCAAAAACGTCAAAAAATGTGGAACAATCATGAAAAAACCATGTCTATTATTCATTAGGTCGTTTCTGATTGATCCGCAAAATTTAGGCAATTCAAAGTCCATCGCCTGAATTCATGAAGATGGCTTGGACATTAGCACACAAAATGTTAGAAATTAAATTCCTATTTTATGGACCTAAAATGCCAAAAAGTAAGGAATTGGTCATGAAAAAATCATGTCAATTATTTATTAGGTTGTTTCTGATGGGCCCATAATTTTTTAGGCGATTCAGAACCCATCGTCCGAATTCATGAATATAGCGTGGACGTTAGCACACAAAATATCGAAAATCATCCTAACTTCCTATTTTATGACCCTAAAACGCCAAAAAAGAAAGAATTGTTATGGTGAAGCTAAGATTATTATTCATTAGATCGTTTTTATGGTCCCACAAAATATTAGGTGATTCGAAGTTCGACGTCCGAATTCATGAAGATGGCGTGGACATTAGCACACAAAATATTGAAAATGGTCCTGAATTCCTATTTTATGGTCTTAAATGCAAAAGAAGAAAAAAACGAGAAACAATCACGGCGAATCAATTATTATTGTTTACTAGGTCGTTTCTAATGGCCTCCCAAAATTAGGCGATTCAGAGCCCGTTGCCCGAATTCATAAAGATGGCATGGATATTAGCGGATGAAAATCAAAAACCATCCTGAATTCCTGTTTTATGGCCCTAAAACACTAAAAATGAGGAATATTCATGGTGAAGCAATGACTATTATTCATTGGGTAGTTTCTAATGGCCCCACAAAATTTTAGGCGCTTCGGAGCCATTTCAACCAAATTCATGAATATGTTATGGACATATTAGCACATCGAAAATTGAAAATCATCCTAAATTCATGTTTTATGGCCTTAAAACACCAAAAGACGATGAACTAGAATTGTGGCATGGTCGAACGCAGAGTGGGTTCAATTGCTTT